CCCGGCCGTCGAACAACAGGCGGCCCTTGAAGAACCAGTGGCGGCTGTGCTCGCTGGGGACGGGGACAGAGGGGTCACAGGGGTCAACTGGGGTCATCAGGGGTCATCAGGGGTCAACTGGGGTCACCAGGGGACAATTGGAGACAATGGGGACACAGGGACCACCAGGTGACCCTTGAAGAACCAGTGGCGGCTGTGCTCGCTGGGGACGGGGACAGGGGGGTCAGCTGGGGTCATCGGGGTCAGCAGGGGTCAACTGGGGTCATCAGGGGTCATCAGGGGACAATTGGGGCCAATGGGGACACAGGGACCACCAGGTGACCCTTGGAGAACCAGTGGCGGCTGTGCTCGCTGGGGACGGGGACAGGGGGGTCACAGGGGTCAACTGGGGTCATCGGGGTCATCTGGGGTCAACTGGGGTCATCAGGGGACACCAAGGGACAATCGGGGCCAATGGGGACACAGGGACCACCAGGTGACCCTTGGAGAACCAGTGGTGGCTGTGCTCGCTGGGGACGGGGACAGAGGGGTCACAGGGGTCAACTGGGGTCACTGGGGTCATCAGGGGTCATCAGGGGTCATCAGGGGACACCAGGGGACAATGGGGACACAGGGACCACCAGGTGACCCTTGAAGAACCAGTGGCGGCTGTGCTCGCTGGGGACAGGGACAGAGGGGTCAGCTGGGGTCAACTGGGGTCATAGGGGTCATCAGGGGTCACAGGGGTCATCAGGGGACACCAGGGGCCAATGGGGACACAGGGACCACCAGGTGACCCTTGGAGAACCAGTGCTGGCCGTGCTCGCTGGGGACGGGGACAGCGGGGTCAACTGGGGTCAACTGGGGTCATCTGGGGTCAACTGGGGTCAACTGGGGTCACCAGGGGACAATCGGGGCCAATGGGGATACAGGGACCCTTGGAGAACCAGTGCTGGCTGTGCTCGCTGGGGACAGGGACAGCGGGGTCAGTTGGGGTCAACTGGGGTCATCTGGGGTCAACTGGGATCAACTGGGGTCAACTGGGCTCATCTGGGGTCATCTGGGGTCAACTGGGGTCAACTGGGGTCAACTGGGGTCATCAGGGGACAATTGAGGACAATGGGGACACAGGGACCACCAGGTGAGCCTTGAAGAACCAGTGGCGGCTGTGCTCGCTGGGGACAGGGACAGAGGGGTCATCTGGGGTCATCTGGGGTCAACTGGGGTCAACTGGGGTCAACTGGGGTCACAGGGGTCATCAGGGGACATCTGGGGTCACCAGGGGACAATTGGGGCCAATGGGGACACAGGGACACTTGAAGGACCAGTGCTGGCTGTGCTCGCTGGGGACAGGGACAGTGAGGGTCACCAGGGGTCAACTGGGGTCAACTGAGGTCATCAGGGGTCATGGGGGTCAACTGGGGTCCTCAGGGGTCATCAGGGGACAATTGAGGACAATGGGGACACAGGACAGGGATGTCACAGGGGTCACAGGGACAATGACAGGGGTCACAGGGGTCACAGGGTCACAGGGGTCACAGGGGTCACAGGGTCACAGGGGTCACAGGGGTCACAGGGACAACGACAGGGGTCACAGGGGTCACAGGGGTCACAAGGGTCACGGGGTCACAGGGGTAACAGGGGTCACAGGGACAACGACAGGGGTCACAGGGGTCACAGGGGTCACAAGGGTCACGGGGTCACAGGGGTAACAGGGGTCACAGGGACAACGACAGGGGTCACAGGGG